AAAAAAAGCTATAAAGTTATAAGTTACATTAAAAAAAACGTTAAATTGTGTTTCTTGTTGATTGAGGCGATATATTAAACCATTTGAATAATATTTGAAGCTCTTCCATTAAGCAGCTAGTTTTTTGTCAGATAAAGAGAAATTTAAGTTGATTTTAAGAGAGATGAAGTTAAAGAGGTGCGAAATAGAGGGGCTGGAATAAAAAAAAATTCAGTTTTTTTGTTTTTTTGTTCATTTTAGAGTTCGGTAATTCTTTTTTTGCTTGTTTTAAAAGTTTTTTGAACTTATCTTTTTGTTTTTAAATTTGTTCGGACATGTCACTGGGAAAGAGAACTGGAGGGCTTTTATCTGGTTGCGGTTTAACAGCAACATTTTGAGGTTTTTAAGATATAGCTTTGAGTTTCAAAGTGTAATCAGAAATTTTTTTTGGTGTGAAGCATCCTGTTCTCGGAAACAGAGAATGGATGTTTTTTGGTTAGGATATTGCTGTTAAAGAATCTCTTTTAGATACGTTGGCAAGTTCCAACCGCGTGCCACACGTATGCGTGAAATGGGTGAAACGGCACGTCGTTTTACAAATGTATTCATCAAGAATTTTGGCGAAGAGTTGAATAATGAAAGCTTGCACAAATTGTTTTCGAAATTTGGTGAAATCACAAGCTCAACCATTATGACTGATACCGACGGAAAGTCTAAGGGTTTTGGATTTGTAGCGTTCAAGAACCCTGAGGATGCAGAAAAAGTTAGTCTAAAAATTACTTTTTCTGTGGTGCTTTAGGCCGCTGGGCTGGGAAGTAACAATTTACTTCAATGAGTGTAGGCGAAGGAGAATAAACTTTATACGTTTTGAATAGCCCGATTATACATGAGATTTTATTTAAATCTTATTTTAATTAACAGCTATATTTTGACACTTTTTTAGAGTATTTACATTATCGTTCTCATGTAATGACGTTACTGTTTTATTGACAGTAACGTTACATTTATATTTTTTTAAAGTCTTGTTCCAGCTCCACGTAGGTTTTTTTTCGTGTAGTCGGTCTTGCAGTGGTATACTGTAAACGTTGACAGCCGAATTTCTATCTTACTGGTTCTTTTGTAAAGTGCCAAGTAAAGATCATTCAAAAGTTCTGTCGAAATATTTTTTACCAGACTTTCAAATTCTTTTCTGTGTATTCCCTCGAGAACTTGAAAAAGCGCGTGAAGGTTCTTCGTAAAAGATATTTCATTACGTTAAGATTAAGCAGATTAGAAAGAAAATAATTTTACGGCAGTTTTAGGTCAGTTACGTTGGTTTTTTTGCATTGGTGCAATTTTAAACAGTTAATTTCACTGTAATCGGTTGAGCTCAAGGAAAATAAGTTGAAGACGGACTGAGTGGGAAAGAGGTTCAGAAGTAGCGCTATCAAATCATTATCTGTTCTTGGTTTTTGTATGTTGGCTGATTGCTAAGGTAACTTTGTGGCAGGCAGAAGGGATGACCTTCATTCGTCAGTTTCAGCAATTGATATTCATCGTAGTATGGAAGTGGTTTTGGAGCGTAGTAGTTCTCTTCGGTTTTTTATTTCGCTTTTTTTAGAGGGTCCTAAGTTTGTTTATTGGACGAAGTTTTTAGTTGGAGTTGTCAACTGCCGCCTTGCTTCTGGTTGGTTTTTTAGGTTATAAGTTACCCATGGGTTTGTGATTCAAACATGTGTAATGAATATTGGCTATATGAGCTTAGTGATAATTTACCTGTTTGGGTGATTTTTTCTTGATCGAACTTTTTTTTTTTGTTTAGAGATATTCTCACCTTGCTTTTTATTTGGTGTATTAGCATTTAAATGGGCATTTTTCGATACTGAATTCATTATTTATCAGAAGAATAAATTAGGCTGTTAACGACATGAACGATTACGAATTGCCGGGAACTGATCGTAAGCTTGTGGTTTGCCGTGCGCAGAAGAAAACGGAGCGTACAGCAGAACTTAAACGGCGTTACGAACAGCAAAAGACTGAAAGGATGCAGCGTTATCAAGGAGTAAACCTGTATGTGAAGAATTTGGATGATACCGTCGATGACGAAGTTCTCAGACAAAACTTTGAAAGTTACGGGAAAATTACTAGCGCGAAAGTGATGTGTGATGACAATGGCAGGTCTAAAGGATTCGGGTTTGTGTGCTTTGAGAAACCAGATGAGGCAACCAAGGTATTCAGGGTTCCACATGTGTTTATGATAATTGTCTCTAAGTGTGTATGATTGGTGGTTGAAATCAAACCTTTTCAGGCCGTTACGGAAATGAATGGAAAGATGATGTGCACAAAACCGCTTTACGTTGCGTTGGCACAACGGAAAGAGGATCGTAAAGCCCAACTGGCATCTCAGTATATGCAGAGGTTGGCGTCAATTAGGTTACATAATGGTGGTGGTGTTCCCGGCGCGATGTATACCCCCGGTGCTAGTGGGTTTTTCATGTCTTCAGCTCTGCAGAATCAGCGTACCGCATTCATGCCTGCTGCCACGATTCCCGGAACACAACTTCGGGCTTCTGCTCCACGTTGGAGTGCTTTGGGAGCTACTGCGGGATTTGGTATGTGAATCGAATTTGGTTTGAAGTTTTTTCATAGAGCTGCTGAAAAGTAGTTTTATGCTCTATTTTTAAGACCTAGAATTTTTTGCTAGTTTTGAAGATGAGAGTAGATTACTGCATTTGTTAAGGTGTGCAATCACCATATATGGTTCAAAGTGGCGGGTATGGTCAGGCAGGTCGTACTACAACCAGAGGGGCAAGTGGTGCAGGATCTGCACTTCGTTCTCAACAGGCGCAGTTTGGTGGTGCAAATGCAGGTGGGACAAGACCTAATCCACAGGCCCAAAGGATCGCTGGTGGCAGTGTTGTACCAGGACAAGCTTCAGCACGTTCTCAACAAATTCCGGTTTGGTTTTTCTTCAAAAGTTGTTTGTTCTTTTTTGTCGGTAATGAGTGGAGTGTAGGTGGGATGAAGGAACTTCTGGTTCTCTTGCTGCAGTGTTCTAGTCGATGTTTCAGTAAAGTATTAATTGTTTTGTATGGTTACTAGCAGAAAGTAGGAGTTTGTGCTTTACAGCTTGTAAATTATTGTTTTGGAATGTTCTTCAACTTTGGTAGACGAATATTAAATCACATTGAGGTGCATTGAAAATTTTTGTGAATATGTTTTTCATTTGCCTGGGTAATAAGCAAAATTTTAGGGGGGAAGACAAGGTCAGGGAGGCAAACCTGTCCAGGGTTCACAGCAGATTTATTCTACTTCTTATGGGATGATGAATGGTCGACCTGGCCAAGTGGCACAACAGAGCAGCATCGTTGTTCAAGGTCAGGAACCACTTACCACGCAGATGTTGTCACAGGCTCCACCACAGGTAGAATATGTTTGTACTTCTTAAATTGGGGAGTGTTCTTTGTTCTTTCATGTTATTGATGTTTTCCTGATTGGCGATTTCTTTACTGGTTTTGGAAGGTATTCGCTCAATTAACATTTAAATATTTAGTAGGTTTGTTCAGTTTGATATTTTTACTCTGAGTTGGAGTTTTAGGAGCAAAAACAAATGCTGGGTGAACGAATCTACCCTCTGATCGGTCGCATCTGTCAAGGCACTGACGTGGGGAAAATAACCGGTATGATGCTTGAAATGGATAACTCAGAGTTGCTAATGATGCTTGAAAATGAGGATCTTTTGCAATCGAAGGTGTCTGAAGCAGCCTCTGTGCTTGCATCTGCAAAGGCCGAAAATCGTTGATTGTTTTGTCGTTTATTATAAATTTATCCCTATTTGTTACGCCTTGTGAAATAATGAATAGAGTTTTAATTTGTTGTTGACTTTCTAATGCTCTTCGGACTTTATGCAGCCTTTAGCTTTGATAATTCTTTTCTCTACGCTCTTGTTTGGTGATAAAAATGACCGAAAGTTGTTGAGTCTTATCATATATGGTCTTCCTTCAGTTTTTCTCTTGCTTTTTGGGAGATGTGGCCGTGAGCTGTGCTTGTTTCTTGAAAATTTTAGTATTGCACTGTTTCAGAATAAATGGGGCGTTCGCCGGACGTACCTTTTGTTGAACTGAGATTGTTTTAGCTTTTCGTTTACTGGAAGTGGTACGGATGTAAGCCGGGCCGTTGCTTTTTCCATTTGGTTTTCTTTATTTTTTCCTTTCAGTTTGTTTTTTTCCTTTTTTTTTTTCTTTGTTTTAGGCCTAGTTGGACTGGGAAGTGTATGGCTTCTGTTGGGGCCATGACTTTTTTTTTGTGTGTGTTGTTTAAAGCTCGGTTATAAACTGCGTTTGTGATATGGTTTTGGCTCATGGTGGCGAAAGAGGTGGTCAAGGGCTTTTTTGGGGAATGGCGATGTTTAATACCTTACAGGATATTGATTCATTTTCTAATTGGTGTTGGTGAAGTTAGCTTTTTGTTTTGTTTTTGTTGGAATGATGCCGTGACGCATTGAAAAGTTTGCTTTCCGTAAATAAAATAAAAGATGATTGTGAAAGGACGGTCAGCGGCTTTACATTCTTCACTTATTCATTAGTTAAATCACCAAGTACTGATCAAAATGGTATTTAGTTTCGTCCAGTGATCGGTAGGGAAGGGAAGTTGTGAATTAGATGTGGATTCGTAACTAAATTGGCAAGATGGTTGCATGGTTTGTGGGCAACCTTAGCGGGTTAACTTTTCACCTCCTGCAGTTAAGTGGCGAGGTCAAACAGCATATCCAGCAGTTTTTTTGCAGCTGCTTCGTTGACGCAAAGATTTTGTCCTGGGGTGCATGTACGCCGATGTCTTTTTAGAACAAAGATGGTAGGGGTAGAGTTTGCGGAGCGTAGGAGAGGCTGCGAGATTTCCACAGAGTTTTGTAGAAGTGTTCAGGAGGGCTACTGATCCCGGATTCCTTATGTTATTTTTGCTACGTTTCAACTGTACAGCAACTCATTCGTTCCTTACCTTCGAATGTGCTTCCTGACGGTAGCTTATTTTTCAGTCTCTATGAGTGCTTGATGATTCATCTAGACGCTGTAAAGTGATTGATCAACGGGTGGTTTATAAAAGTGATTAGTCCTTTTGCTAATGGAAAAGGAAATCGCTAAAGTCGGAATAACAAGATTTAGCAGAAAAGCCTTGAAATTACGAAAGGCCCATTTAAGAGCATTGGCTGATGTCTGCATTAAAGAGGGGCTTCCATGGCATTTTCCTGCGGCATTTAGTTGCGAAGCAGAAAAAACTTTAAAAGTGAGCTTTTGCTTTACGTTTGATAGCCAAAACATTCCTAATCCCCTGTAAAGTGATTGCAGAAATTAAAAATGAAAAGATCCAATGTACGAAAACCCCGTGACATTTCTCTTCGGTTTTTTAGTATTTAAATCCTTCGAAAGTGTCTCAAATGTTTTCCTCTGCTTCTTTTGGTATCTAAAAGACTGAAGGATCGGAAATCTTATTTTGTTATAATATTCACAAAAATATTATTCATTTAGAAATGAGCAAAATTTAGAAATATTTGATTTTAAGGTTACGGAATGAACAGCGAGATTTTTTTGATTTCTACAGTTACAAGGCTCTTGCAATCAGCAAATTTTACCGTTTCATAACTTTTGCATTTCGAATGTTTGAGTCCGGAATTCTACAACATTGTTCACTAAAACAAGTACTTATGATAACTTTTTTGGTGATTCAGTGCTGGTGCACACACTCAATTGCCTGAGAAATACTTTGCAGGATCTAGGAGTAGAACCTTCAAAGTCGTTAGTCAGGTGCCAACGATGTGCGCTCCAAATGGAAAATGTCAAATCTTTCCACGTAAAGTTCTCGAGAAAATGCGGTCACCAAAGAGGGAAGAATAGGCCTTCTAGAAACAGCAACACTTCAAGTAACTGCAAGCTCAGAAAGTAAGTTTTAGCGGTTGCAAACCTCTGAAGTTCTCTAGTCTGTATGCACTGCTGCAATTTGTAATAATCACGATTCCAAAATAATCTAAAGCTTTAGAAAACCAACTGGATACATCTATACAATTTGTAAAGGTTGTGGATATGCTGCAAGCTGTGGAGAAATTAGATGCGTATTTGCCGGATACGACACACTTCAGCTTACCCCAAAAACTGAGGCCCGTCACAGCAAACTTACACTTGCTGGGGAACCTGTTATGACAAGTACCAAACCAGCAATACCGCCGAGAAAAAGGTAACTATGTCTGTTTTTAACAGTAGGAACTCAGGCCTAAAACATTCGAAATAACACTTAAAAAAACAACTAATATCTACCTTTTAAAGTTAGAAAGTAATTTTGTCATTTAATCCCTGAATATTATTTGCTCCCAAGTAGTCGTGCAAACGAACCAGTGGGAGCTAAAACACGTAACTTGCAGAAGACGCTTAGCAAAAGCCGACCTCTTGACTCCATCAACAAGAATAAAACGGGCGAAAAAACTGCAGCAGATTCTTCTGCAGGAAGAACTGGCCACGAGAACCACAGACCATACTCTTTCCAACTTTTTAAACTTCCTGCAACCATCCTGTTAAAACCACCCATCAACTAACATCAAACTGAAGTCCTCAAGATAAACAGCTTCTCCACTCACAAAAACATCTGCAGCTTCTAGAGCAGACTTACCAACACCGAACTGCTATCCAACGGAATGTTTTCCTACTCAAATACCAAAATTTGTTCGGTGGAACAAACCGATTGCTACTTTGCAGATCTAATGATTCCTTGCTCCTCATTATTAAAATACGTTAGATCGTTCAAAGGACGCATTTTGAAAATTGATTTCATCCAAGAAAATAATGTTACTACAAAAAAAAAAAATAATAGATTAAACCTTTTAAACTTCATGCCCCATAAATATGGTACAAACTAGAGGGCTCTTCCAGTTTAGTGGCCGCATTTTTTACTCCAACCAAAGAAGCCAACGAATTCTAGCAGTAATAAATTTTATATGTATTTCATCACAATAATTGGAGGGGATGGGATTACAAAACTGTGATAGAGCCCAAAGAAGATGTATATATGAGCCACCATTTAATTCCTGTTTGAAAAAAAGACATCCCTAAGACGAGGTAAATAGTATTATTCGCGTAGTAGTAATAAAGTCAAATGGCAGTTCCTCTTTCCAGATCCCCTTTGAGATCCTCTGTATATTTGCTGTAAAATCTGTCCAGTTTCTGATTGAATTTCCTGTTCCTTTCATTAATGTAATCGATGGGAGCATCTGGGTCGAACATTCTTCGACGATGGTACTGTTCACGCTTCTTTTGTCTGGAACAGTAGCAAGAGTTTAATTCTCTATAAATCATGACATTGGTAATATTGAAATAGAAAGGAATGACACATGCTGGTCAAAACTCTTCCCCCAATTACTAGTGGAGGGCTTTAACTATAGCCTTTAAAGATGGGCAACTTTTAGCGTCCGATTTCTACAAAAAAAATATCACAACATAATTATTGAACTAGCGGAAGCTACGTGAATAGAAGTTTAGCATCCTTCTATGGAACCATTGCCAGCTTCTCTCTCAAGAAGTTGCCTCTCTTCATACAAACGAGTGAATATTGAAGGAAGAATGGTAAATGATGAGCAGAAAGTAAGCAAAAGAACCCCCTAAACCTCGCCTTCCTGCAACTTTCTGCACACAAGCTTGGTGCAACATCTCGAACAGTTTCTTGACTGATAAGTCTGCAAATTTGAACTTCGTAGAAACTGTTGTGCGGCTTCTACACTAAGCGAAGCTGTTTCCCTAACTCATCAAGTGCCTAAAGTTCGTGAGCTTCACCTTAATGGCTGTCTTGGAAAATCCTACTTTTTTGGCCTTCAAGTACTCAACAGACAGTCAAAAGAAACGGTGCATAAAAAACCTAAGGAACGGGTATGAAGTAGCAAGCTGCTCTGAAGACTCAAAATTCTTAGCAAATTCAGTATCTACGTTTGTTTCCACCTTAATTTCCCGACGCATTTACTAACAGTGCCAACTGCTGCTATCCACCTTGAAAATTCTTATCCCTTTTAAGGTAACGACCCAGAAGTAAAGCTTTCCACTGGATGCGGCAAATTTGGACTTCGAGCTTTAAAATTGAAGCTTACATTTTGCATCTGATATTCTTTGGTGGAGAATGAGCCACAAAGGAGCGCAATTTCAAGCACGAAAAAAGGAGACGGTAAAAAGGAAAACACTTTTTTTGAAGAGACGGAACAGAATTATTCCATCTCACTAATCAATGCGCATGCCCTTGGCATCACAAAAGTAGATTAACAATGAAATAGCATAGAGCCTCTAAAAGCAACAGAAATGGCAACCTTTAAACTCCCGAACAGTGGAAATGAATTTGAAACCCTCTTAAAACAGAAGTACATAAAAATTAGAAGCGAAAATATACTGTGCGACGATGTCATTCTTGAGCTTGTCTAGCGCAGCATCTGTGGGGTAATGAGAGCCAACGATCAACGTGTCC